GTCCTCCCTGTCCCCTCCCTGTCCTCTCCCTGTCCTCTCCCTGTCCCCTCCCTGTCCTCTCCCTGTCCCTCCCTGTCCTCTCCCTGTCCTCCTCCCCTGTCCTCTCCCTGTCCTCCTCCCTGTCCTCTCCCTGTCCCCTCCCTGTCCTCTCCCTGTCTCCTCCCTGTCCCTCCCTGTCCTCTCCCTGTCCCTCCCTGTCCTCTCCCTGTCCCCTCCCTGTCCCCTCCCTGTCCCTCTCCCTGTCCTCCTCCCTGTCCTCTCCCTGTCCCCTCCCTGTCCTCTCCCTGTCCCCTCCCTGTCCCCTCCCTGTCCTCTCCCTGTCCCTCCCTGTCCCCTCCCTGTCCTCTCCCTGTCCTCTCCCTGTCCCCTCCCTGTCCCCTCCCTGTCCTCTCCCTGTCCTCTCCCTGTCCCCTCCCTGTCCTCCTCCCTGTCCTCTCCCTGTCCCCTCCCTGTCCTCTCCCTGTCCCCTCCCTGTCCTCTCCCTGTCCCCTCCCTGTCCTCTCCCTGTCCTCTCCCTGTCCTCCTCCCTGTCCCCTCCCTGTCCCCTCCCTGTCCCCTCCCTGTCCCCTCCTGTCCTCTCCCTGTCCCCTCCCTGTCCTCTCCCTGTCCTCTCCCTGTCCCCTCCCTGTCCCCTCCCTGTCCTCTCCCTGTCCTCTCCCTGTCCTCTCCCTGTCCTCTCCCTGTCCTCCTCCCTGTCCCTCCCTGTCCCCTCCCTGTCCCTCCCTGTCCCCTCCCTGTCCCTCCCTGTCCCTCCCTGTCCCCTCCCTGTCCTCTCCCTGTCCTCCCCTGTCCCCTCCCTGTCCTCTCCCTGTCCCTCCCTGTCCTCTCCCTGTCCCTCCCTGTCCTCTCCCTGTCCCTCCTGTCCCTCCCTGTCCTCTCCCTGTCCTCTCCCTGTCCCCTCCCTGTCCTCTCCCTGTCCTCTCCCTGTCCCCTCCCTGTCCTCTCCCTGTCCTCTCCCTGTCCCCTCCCTGTCCTCTCCCTGTCCCCTCCCTGTCCTCTCCCTGTCCCCTCCCTGTCCCTCCCTGTCCCCTCCCTGTCCTCCTCCCTGTCCCCTCCCTGTCCTCCTCCCTGTCCTCTCCCTGTCCTCTCCCTGTCCCCTCCCTGTCCTCCTCCCTGTCCTCCTCCCTGTCCCCTCCCTGTCCCCTCCCTGTCCTCTCCCTGTCCTCTCCCTGTCCCCTCCCTGTCCTCCTCCCTGTCCCTCCCTGTCCCCTCCCTGTCCTCTCCCTGTCCCCTCCCTGTCCCCTCCCTGTCCTCTCCCTGTCCTCTCCCTGTCCCCTCCCTGTCCTCTCCTGTCCCTCCCTGTCCCTCCCTGTCCCCTCCCGGTCCTCTCCCTGTCCTCCTCCCTGTCCCCTCCCTGTCCCCTCCCTGTCCCTCCCTGTCCTCTCCCTGTCCTCTCCCTGTCCTCCTCCCTGTCCTCTCCCTGTCCCCTCCCTGTCCCCTCCCTGTCCTCTCCCTGTCCTCCTCCCTGTCCTCTCCCTGTCCTCTCCCTGTCCTCTCCCTGTCCTCCTCCCTGTCCTCTCCCTGTCCCCTCCCTGTCCTCTCCCTGTCCTCTCCCTGTCCTCCTCCCTGTCCTCTCCCTGTCCTCCTCCCTGTCCCCTCCCTGTCCTCTCCCTGTCCCCTCCCTGTCCTCTCCCTGTCCCTCCCTGTCCTCTCCCTGTCCCCTCCCTGTCCCCTCCCTGTCCTCTCCCTGTCCCCTCCCTGTCCTCCTCCCTGTCCCCTCCCTGTCCTCTCCCTGTCCTCCTCCCTGTCCCCTCCCTGTCCTCTCCCTGTCCCCTCCCTGTCCTCTCCCTGTCCTCTCCCTGTCCTCTCCCTGTCCCCTCCCTGTCCTCTCCCTGTCCCTCCCTGTCCTCTCCCTGTCCCTCTCCCTGTCCCCTCCCTGTCCTCTCCCTGTCCTCTCCCTGTCCTCCTCCCTGTCCCCTCCCTGTCCTCTCCCTGTCCCCTCCCTGTCCCTCCCTGTCCCCTCCCTGTCCC